TAAAAATATTTTTTTTTATTTTATGTGTACGACTATATTGCCTGCATGTATGTGAGTGCACCCATGTCGTGCATTGCAACAGAGGTCAGGAGAAGGTTTCAGATTCCCCTGGAACTGGAGTTAAGGACGATTCATAGCCGCCATGTGGGTGCTGGGAATAGAACCCGGGTCCTCTGCAAGAGCAGTCAGTGCTCTTACTCACTGAGCCATCTCTCCAGCCCTCCTTAAATCTTTTTAAAAAATATTTTATTTTCTTTTTAATTTTCATGCGTATGAGTGTATTGTGCCTATATGTAAGTGCACATGTGTCATGCAATTCCCTCAAAGGTTGGAAGAAGGCGTCGGATCCCCTGGAACTGGAGTTATAGACAGTTGTTAGCTGCAATGTGGGTGCTGGAAACCAAACCCAGGTTTTCTGCAAGAGCAACCAGTACACTTAACCACTGAGTCATCTCTCCAGCTCACTTCTTCATAAATCTTTAAGCAAATCAGATTATAAAAGTCACCAAGCTAGGCTGGATGTGGTGCTGCACACCTTTAATCCAGCACTTGGGAGGCAGACCCAGGCAGATCTCTGTGAGTTCAAGGCCAGCCTGGTCTACATATGGAGTTCCAAGTCCGTCAGGGCTACGTAGTGAGACCAGTCTCAAAAAAAAGAAGTCTCCAAGCTAACAATGCAGCCAACCCAAGTCATGTGCAGCCTCCTTTCTGGAGCCTGGGCTTGACTAACCCCAAGCCTTCATGTTTACTGCAGAAAACCTGGCGCTGGGGCTCTGGGGGCTCTGGGGCCATCCTGCTGGTTAACTGTGACAGGGACAGCCACGGGTCCAGGGAGGACCTGCATGCCAGTCAGCTGAGTTCTCTAGAGGGTGAGTGACAGCGGGGTGAGGAGTGAGGGAGGGGATGTTAGGGGACGGTTGCTTTAGGGGCCACTCTCCACAGACCTGCAGGACATGTCCCTCATGGTGCTGAGCTGCAGTGGCCCCGATCAACTCTTTGAAAGCCACAAGCTGGTCTTGAAGGTGTCCTTATCTGATTCTAGAAGACTGAGGGTCTACTGTGCCCGGGGTGAGTGGCAGCTTCGTCTCGTCCTCCCTCAGCTCTCTGCCTCTGTCACCTTTTGGTAACTGTCACAGCAGCTTGTAACACCCTATCCCTACACTGACCTGATCCTGTTGTCTCTAGGTGGAACCTCCCTCTCCAACTACAAGCAGGTGCTGGGGCCTCATCACCCATCCTACGAGGTGGAGAGGCATCGGGGAGAGAAGGACATCAGGTTTCATGTGGAAGGGCTTGCCTTCCCCGACGCTGATTTCTCAGGCCTGGTCTCGCTCAGCATTAGCCTGGTGGACCCAAGGGTAGGTACAGCATGGGGGCTGCATCAGGGAGGGGTAAGGTGGGCCAGGGTGGGTGGCCAGAGAGGGGTTCCAAATGGCCACTGAGCACTCCTCCCTCCCAGCCCCTGTCCGAGGTGCTGCTTTTCACAGACAGTGTGGCCTTCCGTGTGGCCCCCTGGATCATGACCCCCAACACCCAGCCCCCCCTGGAGCTCTATGTGTGCAGGTAAGCCCCCAGCAGTGCCTTGTCGGAACCAGAGGCCATACGAGGATGCCGTATGGCCCATCCTCCCTCAGCAGCCTTGTCACTGACAGCTGCGCAGCCCAGGGCTGCCAGGACAACAGCGGGAATCCCACCAAGACCATCAGCTCTGTCTCTAGCTCCCCTGGCTCCCTGCCTGTTGCAGAGCCCAGAACAGCTTGATTCTAATCTGTACAGTGGAGCCAAGGGCTGTGGTGCGTGCCTGTAATCTCAGTACTTGGGAGGAACAAGAACAGTCAGGAGTTCAAGAACAGCCTTGGTTACTTAAGACAAGGCCCTGTCTTAAAAAAGAAAACAAATACTTGGGTTGCCAGGGACCAGAAGGACCCAGCTTCACCCTGCTGTGGCCACTCCTGCATCTGCTGAGGACTCAGGTACCCAGCCAGCAGGGTCCCACCCTGAGCACTACTCAGCTTGGAGGCCCAGGTCCTTCTGCCATGTCTCAACATCCTGGTGGCTTCAGTGGAAAAGCCATCTCTGTCGGTAGACCCTCCAGGTGTGTGTGTTGGGGGCAGACATCCTGATGAACCAGATGTAAATTCATGGCAGAAGGGCATGGCCAAGCAGGGTGCTCTGCTCACTTGGGTAAGCCATGCCTATCCTGGCCTCCAGTTTACTCCATGGGACCCCCACTCTTCCCTCTGCTTGGAGTAGACAGGGCTAGCCCACTCACTGTTATCTCCAACAGTGGCATCAGCTCCAGGTCACCTCCACAGCCACCTTGGGCCGCCTGGGCTGTTTTAGGTGCCCTGTCTCTGGACTCTGCAGTCTGGCCTTGCCTCATCCATCATCACCTGATGTGATCTGAGGACATGACCCAACTCCCTCTTAGTCCACTAGCCTCTTGTAGCAGGGACAGAGCTGAAGCTCTCCATTTAGGGGCATGGGGCCTGGCACCACCTGATTCTGGTCCCAGCTGTGGTACCATCCTTGTAGTGTGACAGACGCCCATGGCCGCAATGACAAGTTCTTGGAGGACATGGCCCACCTAGCTCTAAAGGCCAACTGCAAGCTGGTGGTCTGTCCTGAGGCAGAGAACAGAAATGACCGCTGGATCCAGGTGGGTGCGAGGCTGACTCAGAGAAGAACTGGGGTCAGGTGACTGGGGTTCGGGGGCTAAGTCTACTAGCCAGGCCTGGGGATACGGTCCTGTCCTGCCCAGCCCAAGAGAGCGGCCTGGCGTAGGACTGACTCGGGTCAGTCTCTTGAGAAATTGTCTCTCCTGCCCCCTCCTAACACCCTGACTCCAGACTGGATCTTCTCCTGACTGGGGTACTGGAGCCCTCCACCCTGGCTTCTCTAGGTCTTAGAGAATTGTTTGCTGCCCTGTCCTGCCCCAGACTTGGGGTCATCTGTCCTGAACCTCTCTGAGGGGGTTACTGTGGTTCCTCCCCATGCAGGATGAGATGGAGTTTGGCTACACCGAAGCCCCTCATAAATCCTTCCCTGTGGTCTTCGACTCCCCTCGAGACAGAGGCTTGAGGGACTTCGCCCATAAGAAGATTCTGGTGTGTGGCCAAATGCTCAGGGGGCCCCTTGGGCGGCTCCTCCCCTGGGAGCCCTGATGGAACCTCACCTGGTCTTTTAAGGTCCAGAGTCTGGGAAGAGGGGGGTCAGCAACCTGGAAAGCTAATGGGAGGTTCCACTAGGGGATGCAAATGAGATGCAAATCACATGCAAATAGGCAGTCACTCCCCATCCTGGGAGTGTTCTTGGTAAGGGGCTCATTCCCAGCAATGTTGGCCCTAGGGACACCAGACTGCCTTTCGGGGGCAATGTACCTGTAGTGATCATGCCAAGGACTGTGCTGCCTCCTATACACAGGATGACAGCAGCAGCACCTGCCACCAACTACTGAGTTCCAAGTACTGTCTCTAGTTTTCCATGGCTACCTACACTTAATTCACAGGACACTCTTCCCTTTATTAATAAGTGCTGTTTATAAACTTTCCTCTTTATAAGTTTCCTCTTTATCACTGAGGAAATTGGGACTCAGAGAGATTGAGTAAATTGCCTAAGGCAGTGAATCAATGGGGCACCCATGGACAAACCCCAGCAGGTGCCTGCACAACCTGACTCTTAGCTGCACTGCCTTCTGAGGTGGCCCCGTTTCTGCAGGTGTATGGGCCCCAAGTCCTCTCCTGCAGGGATGGTGCTGGTCCAGGTGGGAATTTGTGGGTGAAGTGTCCCAGAGCCTGTGGGTGACCAGCAGGAACATTCACCAGCCTGGAAGGGCTGGGGGACCTTCAGTCCTGCAAGGTGAGGATTAGGGAGCCCTGACCTGGGGTGGCCTGGGGTTCTCAGTGATGGCAGCTCTTGGCTCTATGATCCTCAGCCTCTGCTGTCTTTGGGTTTATGGTGCTTTTCTCTTCTCAGCACACGGTGCCAGCCAAGGCCTGTCTCTACCTCCCCAGTGCTGGGAGTACAGTGCAGGCTACCACACCGGGGTTTTTAGATAGGTACTGGGAATTGAACTCAGGTCCTCATGCTGTGTGGCAGGCACTTTACCCACTTAGCCATCTCCCCAGCCCTAATGTGCTGTATTCTTTTGCCTTTCTCATCCACGGGTCCTTTAAACACCAGCTGCTTGATCAAGGGCCTGGGACTCTGCTGACCTCCCAGTGCTGACTTGATCTTTAACTGCTCCAAATACGGAGAGCATCTTTCACTGGAAAGCCAGGGGTCAGGCATTCTACTGCACTCCACTCTTTTGGGCATGGTCCCTTCCTCCCTTACCAACCCTCCTTCCTTGCCTGGCTCTGCTGGTCCCTTTCTAGGGTCCTGACTTCAGATACGTGACCCGGGAGATCCAGTATGTGGGTGCTTCTGGCCTTGATTCCTTTGGCAACCTGGATGTGAGCCCACCAGTGACGGTGGGTGACACCGAGTACCCCCTGGGCAGAATCCTCATTGGGGGCAGCTTCCCAAGGTGAGTGGTCTTGGGAGGGGGGTGGGTGTGGGAGGACACTGCATCCTCACCCACGAGCTCTGGCTCCCTAGGCTGGGAGTTGGCCTCTAGAGCCCATGGGATGAATGTCAAGGTTACAGAGATTGAGGGTCTCAGCTTGAAGAGATCATAGGATCTCAGGGGAAATTAGTGGTTCAGAGTCTGATAGGCATACTAGGTTACCTACGGTAAATTGGTATGTTGGGCTGAGGGTGAGCTTAGATAGTAGGGATTTGCCTGGCATGCACGAGGGTTTGATCCCCAGCACTGAATAAATGGGGCGTGGTGGTATGCAACTGTCATCCCAGCACTGGGAGAGTAGAAACAGGAGGATCAGTAGTTTAAGGTCATCCTCAGCTGCATGGAGAGTTCAAGGCCAGCCTGGCTTAAGGAGGCCTTATCTAAGATCAGCTAGCGATAACATGCTCTCTGGCTTGTCCCATGGAGAAGCCAACCTCACTGGCTGCTGTCCTGGCTGGCTCTGACTTGAAAGGGCCCAGAGGCTGCTCAGAGGCAGGGCAGGTGAGCCAGTGGCTGGCTGGGTATCCAGGTGAGAGAGTGAATCAGGGACCCAGCACTGACCAACTGCGATGAGGAGGGGACAAGTGCAGACCTGTTCACCAAGTTGAGTGCCCCCCGCTGCAGGTGTCCAGGGGAGGGTCTGCTACTTGAAACCTGCAGGGCCCCCTCATCTTGCCACAGCCTCTTTCCATTTGTGGGGTTTGGCGTGGAGCCCGAGTGTGCCCCAACTCTGCGCCCTAGCTGGCCTCTAGTGATAGGAAGGTCACACAGCTTCAGGTGGGGAGCCCAGGGCCCCAGGGCTCTGAATCAGGCAAGATAAGATCTGCTGACAGCAAGTCAGGTGCAAAGTCAGGTGCCCAGAGCAGGTACATGGGGCTGAGGCCAGCCAGGGCAGGAGAGGGCTGTGGGCCCTGGGGAAGATCCATCTCAGACAGCACACTGGGAGTGAGCCTGCCAGGCGGGAGTAGAAGCAGCCCTGATGATTGTTAAGTCAGAGTTTTTATAGGATTACAGAATTATTATTAAAACAGGACATTTGTGAACCAATCAGGTTTGTACAACATAGCAGTATTTTGATTCTATTAACAACCAATCATTGTACAGATAAGTGATACAGTCATATAACTTGGCACTCAACTTTGTAACATTAAAAACTAGCCAACTGTTTTAGTCATAACAAGTGAAATAAGACAGTCAAGGTAAGTAACTTCTAGGTGGTCGTGCAATAACAGAATAACAAGGGTGGTCTTATGCCCTGTGTCAGGGTGACCCAAGACAGCAAGCAGGTTACAGAAGCGAAAACAAGCTGGTTAGCAAAAATATAATGTCTGGAATTAGCACATTCCATGATTCATGGCGAGGACAATTTTCCAAGGCCCAAGGTTGCCCCCCTTTTCCTTCTGGTGTGGAGCAAAGTTGCTGCTGAAATGGCTCTGAACAAAATGGAGTAACTTAGGGAAGTTTTGCTGAGCCAGTTCACTAACCAGTGCTTGCCACGCTGTCTAGTGAACAGTAGGTGCTCAACTGAGTCATTTAAACAAAATAGTCATGTGTCAGACATGGGTGAAATTCTGTGGATGTGGGGTGTGGTGATATGTGCCTGTAACCCCAGCACTCAAGAAGCTGGAGCAGGAGGGTTGTAAGTGCAAGGCCAGTCTGAGCTGCAGAGTGAGGCCGCATCTCAAAAACAAAACAAAACGAAAACAAAACGAACACAAGAAGCAAAAGGAAAATGGAGCAAGTTGGGTTGTTGCTCTGTGTTCTCCCTGACATCTGTCCTCACCAGTAAACAGAGCAGGCAACCTTCATGGTCCCAGCAAGAAGAGGCAGGTAACACACATGGAACGGCACT